TGGTGGTGGTGGTGATGATGTACTGCGTGGTGGTCTGCTGACTGACGGCCGGCTGCTCCAGTGGGTCGGGGTGAACCTGTGCTGCGGTGGACGGGACATTCACCTGCTTACCATCCAGCTCCGTCTGTCCTTCTGCGATCACATAGTGTGTCTGCAATGCACGAGAAACCAAAACACAATTGCATTACAATATGAAAGCAAAAACACTGGAATGTATGCGTTAGCCAGATAGCTCCTCCAGACTCACCGTTTTGACCTGACTGCTGTTGACGGCAGCAGTGACGGGGGTGCTGGCCTCTGCTATCACATACTGAGTATGAGGAAGAGCCATCATCTGGATCTCAGCTGCTTACAGGAGCAAAAGGAGGAAAACAAAAGGCTGCCATTATGTTTTCTGTATAAATATAGGTTAATATAACAATAAATATCTATTAGAGAAGCTTTTGCTGAAGATGCTTACGATAACTCCTGTAGTTCCAGTTGCTGGGAAGGTACGCATGCTGTGCAGCACCTTGTGTCTGACTGGTGGACGTCTGTAGAGGCTGGCCCTGAGCGAGGGTCACAGGGGTCAGCTGCGCGGAGCTAAGCTCCTGGGCTGCTTGCTGAGAGGAGGGACTTAGAGGCTGAGCTGAAACCTGATTGGATGACAGAAAGTGTTAGAAGGGTAGTAGTGATGGGAGAAACGAACCATTTCGAAGCAAACACCACACGCTGGTGACTCCTGCTGGTCAAAACTGTGTCAATGCAACAAAAACTCAGACCAAAACATGCATAAAAACAGATTTTACAAACCCAATGAAAACGCGTTCTTGAAAGTATAATATATTAAATGCAATCAAAATAATAAAATACCATTAATAATGAAGTGTCTGTATAATAGGCCTATGCGTCTTTAAAATAATTATTATTCATTTGCAAGGGCTTGTTTTGTTTGTTTTATGGAGAGCGTGTCTAAACAGGCCAGTAAGAGACTATTACTCATCCTTTTAATTACACAAATGTCTCAATAAAAATGTCTACAAATTGATCAAACTGATCCGAGATCGTATGATGCAGTTGTTCGCCGCTGTGGGGCGATCTCAGTGGACTCGCATGATTCACGGGTTCACAGAGATAGCCCCCCTAAGGTGAACTATTGAAATTTCGAAACACTTATGATGCAACGAAGCATCGTTTACTAAAATCACGTGACTTTGGCATTTTGATACATGCTCTGAACCACTGTTTCGAAACAATTGATTCGCAAAGGTTTCGAAGCTTCATGAAGCAGTGTTTCAAAAGCGGCCATCACTAGTGATGGTAAGACTGATGCCACTTAACTACACACACAAAAAAAAACTACCAAAATAATTAAAATATTTTATATTTGTTGAATTATTAAATATACTCTGAAAAGAAACTGAATCATTATAGATCATCCTAATATAGCATTATGGACCAAAAATTTGGTCTTGGTTTGAATATGCTTAAATGTTGCAGTTTTTCTGCAAAATGTATTGCAATATGAAAAATACAGGAATTTTCAGCAGAATTTTATGATTTTTTTATTTATTTTTTAATCCTTTTTGAACCATTTTAGGGCTGAACAATTTAAAAAAAAAAAAAAAAACTTTATATAAAAAAAAAATATTAATATAAAAAAAATCTTTAAAAAAACAACAACTTAAACCTCTTTCAGTAACCATAAAGTGAACATTGTTCAACTATTTCTACTTGAGATTTCATGAGCTACATTCCCACTCTTTTACACATTCAACACGACTATAAAAAAATAATTACGATTTTGATTATTATTAAATAAAAATATAAAAATAAGAAATATATTGTAGTAGCACTATTGTAATGTAAAATAAATCAAGTATTTAAAAAATATAATTTTATTTTACAGTACAACTGTAAAATTACAATACTAATAATAATGTCTTAATTTGTTCATTTTCAAACTTTAATCCATCAAGCTTTTATTTTGACGGCTTGCTGGAGAAAATTCATAAAATTTCAAAAACTCTCAGTGCATACATTTACCTAAAGGGGGTATTCACCACTCTATTAAAAGTAGAAATGCAAAAGAATTTTTGAAAGGCGGTGATGTTCTCTTTTGTAAACAACACCAAAAACACTTTTAATTGTGGCACGACCCTCTTTCGATCTGACTGCCAGAGGGTGGGAATACAAAAATGCAGATGTTCGATCTGTAGTTTTAACAAAAGCCCTGGAGTTATTAAAGTTATTCTGCTAGATGACAAAAATGACATTTTGTATCATCCGGTGAACATTTGCTGATAAATACATAGGATATTCAGGGCAGGTAACACAGAGAAAGAGTGTTCATTGTTCATTTACTTATACTGACATTGCAACAATATAAAGCTGTTTGGAAATTGGCAAAATTATCCTATAATTAAATTGAAGTCTTCGCAGGTAATTACACTAATCCATATTGTGATATTATGTCAGAATATTGTGCAGCCCTACACAGCATGCACATCCAGTGAAAGTCAGCTGCTCACCTGTGCATTGGCCTGCACTGTCCCTGTAGGCTCAGCCACCTGTATATGCTGAACCTGAATAGAGTGCTGACTGTAACTGTGAGGGTCGTGTAACTGACTCACATCTACTGTAGAGTGCTGAGCGTGAGGAGAGGGCGCCTGCAGAGACAAACAAATCGAATCAGTCTAAAACTCACCATAAGATAGAAAAGCACTATTATTAAACTATTATTATTAATTTTTAAAAACAGCATTTATTTGAAACATAATTTTTTTAAAGATTATAAATGTCTTTACTGTCACTTCTGATCAATTTAATGCATCC